GGTCATGTAGCTAAGCAATATACTCGTATGAACTTTGCTGCAGATAACACCTCTGGTGTGTGGATCGGATGGTAATTGCTGCTTATGTTGTATTTCAGGAAATTGGAGGCTACTTTTATCTACCTCAGACACGCTGAATTGAAGAATGTGAGCTTAAAGTGAATATTATAAAACAATCTTCAGAACTCAAAATTTATCCTGTAATTCAGAATTTCAAAACTCACCAAGGCTTTGAATTTATTATTAACATCTTTTTCAATAAAATTTTGCTCAGCTTTCCTTTATTCTATAGTCTTCCTAAACTTCCTTCACCAAGCCAAATTAATTCCTCAGTGTGTACTTTCAACACCTCGTCTGTCTCTTGCTTAAGACCAATTATGTGTTCAATCATACTTACTGAGAGCCTGCCGGGCGCCCACCGGGGACTTTTCCAGGCAGCAAGAAGGGCAGCAAGCTGTTCTGCTCTCAAAGAGCCTGCAATCTAGTGGTGGAAAATAAGTTACTACAAACTCTGTGAAACAGTGACATATAGAAAAATAACGCAGGGCAAGGGAGACACAGTGACTTAGAAGACAGGGGAGCCTTGTTTTTTGTTGTTGTTTTATTTTATTTTATTTTACATACCCTTGGAAGGCCTTTCTGATACAGTGACATCTGAATGGGGTTCAAGAGGAAGAGTGGAGTGAGGGCCTTGTATACCTGGGGAGACCTTCCAGGCTCAGAGAATGGGGAGCCCAAAGGCCCTGAGTTGGACTCACGTTCCCATGTTCAAGGACTGAGCTAGGCCGAGAGGCAAGAGCAAAATGAATGAGAAAGAAGGAGTGGAAGGAACTCGGATCACACAGCAAATGGAGCCAGAATGGCGTGCTGGTACTCCAGGAGGCCGAGACTTTGGCCTCTATCCTGAGATGGGAATTCTGAACCTCCTCTAGCGCAATATTTAGGTTTCTATGAAAGACAGAGTTTCTGCTCAATTTTTCTGTAAATCCAAAACTCCTAAAATAAATAAATAAAGACAATTAAGAGACTTGGAGATGGGGTTTGGTGCTTTAGGTTGTTTCAGCTTTCTACCTGGCAGAAATCTTTGAGGTCAGAAATCAGCCCTGACCACCTGATTCAAATGTGTTAGGGAGGTGGTGGTTTCCGGAAGACACTGCGGCGGCAATGAGGAGAAAAGACAAACATTTACATTTTAAGAAACCATGCTTCCACATTCACAAACCCCTCTCATCCAAAACAGTAAACTGCTGGGCAGTCGAGGTTGTTCTTTCACCATGAGGCCCCACCCCACCCCAGGGACCAGGGTGAAGAAGATTGGGTCCCACGGTGACAGATATTTGCAATAGAATCCATGCATTTTGTTGTGGTGGTGGTTCTTTGTTTTTAGTGTTCTTTGTTTTATTTGGGCTATAATTGGTCTACCAAAACATTAGGCATGTATCCATGATACCATCACCACAACCAACATACTAAACATATTCTTCACCTCCTGAAATGTCCTTTTGTTCTGTGGTTTCTTGGATGTTTTAGATGTGTGTTAAGAAGTTGAGATCAGGTCTCTGGGCATGTTTTGAAGTGCACATAAGGTACTGTTAACTACAGGTTCATGTTGCCCAGCAGATCTCTACAGCTTTTTAATCATGCATAACTGAAACTTTCTCCCCATAAAACAACCCCCATGTCTCCCTCCCCCAGGCCTTGGCAATCACCCTCCTGTTGTCTGCTTCTGAGTCTAACCATCTTACACACCTCTTGTGAAGGAATATACCCCACTCTCCCTTTACTTATGATGGTCAGTCTGGGCCAGTGGTTCTCACCTACTCTCTCTCAGGATCTTAGAACACCTCAAACCCTCCCCGCAAAACACCGATTTGTAATGCATTCAGTTACAAATCCCAAGCTCCTGGAGTAAGACCAGGATGTGTGCACTGGGGAAACCTCTCTAGGAGACTGTGTTGTGCCACTCTGATTAAGAACAACTGAATTCATTCAAGCCGATGAGCCCTGACATCTAACTGCTCAGGCACGTCCCATTTGGCTGGGGCCCCAGCAAAGGGGTCAAAAGGCTGATGGGTCAGGACTGGCATAATCCAGCTATCCCCAAGCAGGGCCCCGTCAACTATGAAGGGAAGCACTTTGTTCAAAGCGACAAAGCTCATGTCTCCAGGGCCAGGTGGACTGCAAATAATCACTCTCCCAAGGGCGGAAGCTGGTGTCTGTTGCCAGCAACTTCAGCTTGGAAGGTTGACAGAATGAGTCGTGAACACTGTGATGAGACATATGGAAGGAGCAGTGGGACCAGCAGAGTGTGGAGTGAGCGAGTGGGTGCTTAGGAAGGCTGGTTGCCCCATGAAGGATCTCTAAAGAAAATGGAGCTGCAGGTATCCCTCTTCTTAGGGACTGGACTGGGAGAGCTCGGCATCCTCAAAGCAAAATGGTCCCCACTCTAGATCAGGGCTGAGCCCAGCTGGAACTTCCACACCGGGGTCCCACTCCGCCCTCAGCCTCACTTTCCTCTCTTCAACAGGCACCACTGAGAATGCCTTGACTTCAAATTACGTAGCCAGCAGCACCAGAAGACGGGGTTAACTAGGAGTGTGGGGGGTGATCATCTGGTGATAGCACCACACCACACACACCACTTAAGTGTTTTTTAAAGAGTATTGGTGGATATCTAGTCCTGGATGGGAAAATACCAAGTTTGAAAAAAGCAAAAGAAACTACAAAGGAATTACTGAGATTCCACAATGAAAATGTTTGGAGATCAAGGTCATCAAAAGCCACTGTAAATCAAAGGAAAATGGCATGCTGAGAAAATATTTGCAACAAATTTCACCTCCAAATTAATTTGAAATACAAATTGAAAGCCATCTGCCTGTTTACTCACTCTTCAACATTTAGTCGATGGTGGGAGATCCAGCCCAAGGCCACCCAGGTGAATCTCAGAGCTTGCACAAAAGGTCCTAGATCCACTGCAGCTTCCCACAACCCAGTGGCTCTATATTTTAAAGTATGTACACATCATCTTTTACAGGGGTCTTCAAATTTTCTTGGAAGATAATCTTAAAGACTGAGCCAGATTTTGGGACAAAGACTATCAAGATCACTGTAATGTCCCCTGAACCCAAAGTCTAATGTGAACTCAAACATGGCCTAGAACTCAGGGAGCGTGGCCTCAAGTTCATCAAATACTATGCTCCCTGTCATGCTGTTTCCAGATCCCAGACCCAGGATTCATTTACGGACATGCCAAATGGAGGGTGCCTGTTCTCCTCACAGCTAGTGTTGGCAAAGTGGAAGGGATGGATGGAGAGAGACTGATTTGGGAGTCAGGGCTATTTCTGGGATGCTTCAGTGGGTGCTCAGACAGAGCCCACAAGTACTCATCTAGCCCTCAACTTGGTATAATCTGTAGAGATGAAGACCAATGCTCAAGGGTGAAAAAAGGTCTCTGAATTCTTGGCAGCCAATAAGAGGCGAAGAAATTACTGAAGGTGATCAATTTTTTTTTTTTTTCCTGTTTGGAAATGACTAGAAGCGGTGGGAAACAGTGAGAAATCAGAGGAACTAAAATGAAGCATGGCTTCCTACAGTGTTGTGGGGCCTGTTATGTGACACAGTGCTGGCGTGAAACCCACTGTGTGAAAAAGGAGGAGAAGGGGTATGGAACAAAGGGACTAATACTGACAGGCCACCGTCTCAAGTGGCAATTGGTAGACAGACAGCACCATGCATCTGTCAAACCCAAAGAACTGCACAACACGGAGCATGAACCCTAAGGCAGGCCATGTTCTCTAGCTCCTAATAACGTACCCACTTCAGTCTATCAGTCCCAACACACAGACGACACTGGCACAAGATGTGAATAAGCAAAGAGATTATGCAGGGCCAGGCGGCATACACAGGAACCCTACACAGGAACTTATAGTCAACTTAAAACTACTCTAAAAATGAAGTCTACAAACTAGAAATGGAACCACCATTTGACCCGAATTATCTGACTCCTAGGCGTATACTCAGAGGACTTAAAATCAGCATAGTGACACTACCACATCAATGTTTGTAGCAGCTCAATTCACAATAGTTAAAACTACAGAACCAACCTAGATGCCCTCCAACAGATGGATAAAGAAAATGTGGTATATAAATACAATGGACTATTACTTAGCCATAAAGAGAAGAAATTATGGCATTTGCCAGTAAATAGATGGAATTGGAGACTATCTTGCTAAGTGAAATAAACCAATCCCCCAAAAAACAAAGATTGAATGTTCTGGTATGTGGATGCTAACTCACAATAATGGGTGGCGGGTAGGGGAGAATAGAAATACTTTAGATTAGACAAAGGGGGGTGAAGGGAAGGGAGAGGGGAAGGGAATAGGAAAGACAATAGAATAAATCACTTTCCTGTTTCATATATGAATACCTGACCAATGTAATTCCACATCATGTACAACCAGAAGAATGAGAAATTGTACTCCATATATGTATAATGTCAAAATACATTCTACTGTCATGTATAACTAAAAGAAAATGTTTTAAATGTCTTATTGAAGAAAAAAAATAAAGTCTAAGCCAAACAGTGACACATATCTGTAATCTAAGCAACTTGAGAAGCTGAAGCATGAGGATCACAAATTTGAAGCCAGCCTCAAGGACTTTTGAAGATTCTTAGCAACTTAGCAAGATCCTATGTTAATTAAAAAAAAAAAAAACTGAGGGTATAGCTTACTGGTAGGGTGCTTGCTAGCTTATAGAAGGCCCTGCCTGGGTTCAATCCTCAGCCCCTCAAAAAATAAAATAAAATAAGTTCTCTTAGTTTAAAACTGACACATCTTACTCTCCCCACAATGTAGGCAGCACACAGTCTGCATTTGAATGTCATGTTTAAAGAAAGACAATGAAGTGGGGTAGGTCAAGAGCTGAGAGGTCCCAAGACCATGAATGTCAGAAGATTCTCCTTTCTGCCCCCCAAACCAATCAAGGGTCCACTTCATCAGTGTATTTCAAACAGTTATTTTTATTGATCCGCAAATGCAAAATATACAAATTTCTCAAAGGCATCTCCTGTTTAAAAGCTAGCACAGCTTCATTCCAGGTCATTAATTCAGACAAATATACAGAACACAGGAGTCATAAGTCACACATAAGAGGCCCCCAAAACCGTTAACAATTAAACCCCATCTATACAGCTTTCTATTTTTTAGGCTCCCTTATACATATTAAATAAATAAATAGCACATCTGCTATCAAAATAATAAAAAAATAAATTTCAAGTATTACAAACGAAAATATCATTGGTGTGGTTCAAACAGTTTTTCTTCCCCAAAATGCTTTGCCCATGGTCAAAGGAAAGGGGGAAACTTACCCAAAAAACAAATATGGCGTAAAATTTAAAAAATTGGTCCCAGTTTTGTTTTGTTTTCTTTTGGGGGGGTTGGGGTTGGGGGTGGGGTAAGGAGAAACAGAGGTTCCATGACTGTATGTCAGATGTACCCACCAGCCGACACCCCTTCAAAAGTCAGGTTACTGGCTTTCAAATGAAGCAGAATTCTCCCTTCTCCAAGATCTCCCCTCCCTGACCTTATCCACATGCTCTCCCCATCTAATCTCTCACCAAACTGTAGTCCTATGTTAGGCAAAACCCTCTTCATGTGATTCCGGGTCCCCAGGGGTGAGAGGGGAACACACCCTCATGGAGTCCCTACCTGTATCAGCTCATACAGGATAGGGCCAGGGTGGCAGCTACAAGACCACCCTCAGGTGCAAAGCTACAGGGCTCTCAGGTCCAAAAATATGACCAGCCTAAATACTCATGCACATGCATGTGCCGCACACACAACCTGACGTGACTCAAGATACTGGGGAAGGGAAGGACCCCAAGTCTTACACTGTAAGGACTGTACACCTAGATAGTCCTGCTCTCTGGAAGACTGCCAATTAAAAAGGGATAGGGTAGGCAGGAAGGAATTGAAGGGTAAGGTGTGAAAAATACGAACCTCAATCGTGCAGTATCTGAAGCGTGTCCCCGTGTCCCACTTAATCACAGTTAGGGAAACATGCAGTCTCTAAGGGCTCCTCTCAACGAACAAAGCAGCTCTTCTCTCCATGCTCAGCTTTAGGTGTCTGGGCCGCCACCCTCACTCCAGGCTTGTCCCCTTAAAGGGCATGGTCCCAGGATCCACAGCAGAAGGTGGGAAGAAAAGTGACCTTTGGCACCAGCTTTGAGACATCCTTAAAGGGTCATTTGGACAAACTGTACTGCCAAGTTTCCAGTTTCTTCTGTAAGATACCCTCTCCTACCCCATTTTTTGAGGCAACAAGGGAGGAGAAACTGACAGACAGAAACTACAGGTATCTAGAACCACATGTCCCATAAGCCCTACACTCAATACCTGCAAACATGTCACAGATGCCATCGACGCAAGGCAAGGATGACATTCCACTCTTGAAATCCCCAAGGTGCCCAGAGTGGTGCCAGGCACACAGCAGACACTTGACAGACAACCTCTTAGAGGAAGCAGCCTGAAATGGGCCTACCTGGGACCACTGACCCCAGTTAGGGACATGGGTGGTGACAAGCACCCAGAAGGAGGAAGGCTGGCTCTTCTCCATGCCATCACAGAGTTGGTCTTGCGATGATGCAAATGCTCTGAGCTTCCCCATCTCATGGGTCTGCCCGACTCCTCACATCCAGAGGCTCCAAGCCCCCGAGGGCCTAACGCCCCAGCCTCTAAGTCCTGAAGAGGTATGACTTTCAGGTCACCTTAAAACGTGCAAAACCAAGCAGCTCCGGGAGAGCAATGCACTCAGGCACCTCCAGGTCCACGTAGGAAACAAAGGGACCCCAAGGCCCCTGGGGGTGGGGGGAGGAGGAGCTCTGCTCATCTGTTGCGTTTTCGCAAAACACCTCCTTTTGCCTACACAGCCAGTCTGTCCTTGAACTCAGGGCTGCGGAGGCAGGTGGACGTTCAGGAAGTCTGAGCACGTCACTGCTCTGTTGACAGATGAACATCAGCTCAGGGACTTCTCAGAAGTCCCAACTCTGCATGCATCCAAGTCTCTCTCCATGAGGCACCTTCCCAGGCCAAGATGCACCAAAGAGCCAAGTGAGTCTCCACCTTCCGCAGCTAGGATCTGCCCTCCTTTAACTTCAGGATTCTCTGCTAGTCGAATCTCCCCAGCTAGGCAAATGCCAGGCCAGTATCACAGAAACAAAACCAAATAGTGGGGTCCAGTGGGGTCCCACCTCCCACCTCCTCCTCTATAAACTGTCTTCCTCAAGCCTGGTGGAAGGACTTGAAGCCAGACACCCTGGAAGCCTCGGGAGCGTAGAGGGCGGGGAGGCCCACAGCTCGTGGTCTGAGCAGGGATCCACGTGGCTGTTGTCTCCTTGGCCATCCAGGAACCATGGGTACAGCTGCTCTCCAGCCAGCAGTCTCCCCTTCTCATCCACCCCCGCCTGGTCCAGAAGTCCTGGGGATTGTTTTGGCCTCAGGCAGACAGGTGGGCACAAGCTAAGCTGCAGAAGTGGAAATGGAACGGAACCGGATATGTCTGCTTCAGTGTTCCCTGGAGGAGTCGGCGCCACTCCGGGAGCCTTTCATGTTCTGTTTTCAGGAGAAAGAGGGTGTGGGGGAGGGAATCAGGACTTGTATCCAACCGCATTTCTTTAGCACAAGGCTCAAAGCCATGCCAGTGAGACGTCTTCCCCTCCCTCTACCCCAACAAAGAACAAAACCCAAGAGAGGCATCATCACAAAACAGGTGGAAGAGTGCCCAGCTAAGTCCAGAACATGACAGAGAATAACCCCAGCTCAGAGAGATGGAGTGGACACAGGCTAGTTTCCTGCCAGAAAGAGGTAGGGAAGGAAGATGGGACAGGCATGTGGCTCAGGACCCCGAAGCTCTAGTGGGTCAAATAGGAACCCAGGGCTATTCTCTGCACCCACACAGGGACTCCCTGCTGGCCACAGGCAGGCCAGGATGGGCTGGGGGACCTGAAGCAGCACAGGTCCTGTCTCCTGATTCAAGGCTCAGGCCCTGGTGTCTGGGATCTGGGCCCAGTGCTCAAGAGGAGTGCACAGGATTAATTGGGATAGCTGGATGTGGCAAGGAGCCAAGCAGAGGAGGCTCCAGCTCTGATCAAAGTGACCCTAGGAGGAAGTGCTATCCCCAAGGCACTGGCTCGTATCAAAACCTCCCTAAAAATATTCTTCAATCACTTAGGGACACATGATTGCTGCCACTGCAAAGCAGGGGTCTCTCCCTGAACTCCCTAATCTGCCCCTCAAGAAAAAGAAAAAAAAAAAGAAACACAATTTTTATAGTATTCTCTCTGACTCTGAGTGTCTCCAACCACACTGAGAAGAGAACAGAGCCCAGGCAGACAGGTATCAGGGATCACCTCTCACACTCTCACCCTGAGCACCCCAGCTGAAGAGAGGAGCCTTACAGGTCTGGACAGCACCAGAACTACCACCCAGGTCCAAGTAGGACTCAGGAACCCAGGCAGCTGACACCCTCCATGATAGGGTGGGTCTCTGGAAGTGGCCTAGTCCTCACATCTAGAGAGCCATGGGATCTGAGAGTGAGGGGCCGTGGCCTTGCTCTACCATGGACACCATAGGCCCCCAGGTTTCACGTATGAAGACAATGCAAGGATAACATCAAGTGCCACAAGGCGGGTCATGTGTATGTCATTCAGTCATGAGGCCCCTGGCTCAGGACACACACAGAGAAGACAGACCTCACAACGATAGCACTGCTCATAATACCCTTGGGTACTGACACATGAGCCACATACACCACAATGGCCTTCTGCACACGGATCGAGATGCCCTACAGCTAAGATGCCATGACTTGGAGATGCAGGAGGGGACAGAGGGACATGCACCAGGCATTTACCTTTCCAAAGTTAGTAAGGAGAAAACTTTGAGAAAATGTGACAGACAGTTCGTCTTTCAAGCATAGTGGGGAAGAGAAAAAAAAAAAAAATCTTTCAGTAGTATTTTTTCTAGAGTGCACATGAAATTTTAAAATGAAGAAGGCATCATGAATGCCAGGTGGTCTCCACCTCACATGGATTGCCCAGCCCCCAGGAAGACACTGCAGAGCACAGAGTCTGGGCCATCAGGCCAATTTTGCCAAGAAATCAACATCACTGGCCCCACACCCAGGGGATCCCTTCCACCCAAGTCTAAGCACTCCAGCTGCTCATGGGAAGAAAAGCCACCAGGCTGAGGCAGAAACACAGGAGCACCAAAATGCAGATTCAGACCCGAAGAGGCCAGGAAGTATCCAAGAGGCCCAGGATACCAAGTCCCTCCCTAATAATAACAGCAGCCATTGTCCATCAGGCCCCACATAGGTGCTAGATATTTTGCTAAGTGTTATATCTATGTTCTCACTATTAAAATGCCTTATAAGCCAGGCACAGGCACACGCCTGTAAGCCCAGTGACCCGGAGGCTGAAACAGGAGGATTGGTAAGTTTGAGGTCAGCCTGGGCAACGAAGCAACTCTGTCTCACAATAAAAATGAAAAATGTTTGGGGGGTTAGCTCAGTAGTAGAGCATTCCTGGGTACAATCTCCAGTACCACCACCACCACCACCACCATCATCATCATAATAATAATAAATAATAATAATAAAAAATAAACAAAGTTGTGAAGTTCTCTCCATTTTACAGTTGATGAAGTTCAGGTCCTAGAATTGCTTTAACTTGCCCAGAGTTCCAATATCCGGAGATCAATTCCTAGAATCAGATCTATCTGTGATCCAATTCATGGGGTTACTCTCACAAGCGGGGCTAGACTTTGGGATTCTGGGTAGAATTCTGACCAGTCAGGGGGATGGGCTATAGTATGTATTTTTACTGAACTGGAGGGATTCTAGTCCTGAGCACTATTAGATTCACCCTAGAGCTGGGAAAGCACAGCGTTAGAATGCCCCCCTCCCGGTAGGAAGCCTTCTTTGAAAAGGAACACAGCATGTGCAAGACCATGGGCTCCGAGCCTAAAGGCAGGCTGTCATATAAGAACCCTGGTCCTCCAGTAGTCCATATGCTGGATCTTGGCTACAAAGGGGCAAAGGCCTCTTGCTCTTAGAAGGTAGATGTTAAAGAACAGGCCTCATTAACCAAGGAAGCAGCTGCAGGTGAGAGGCTCTGGGACCTAACTAGAAACCAAGAGCAGCTAGCAGTACCCCATAGGCTGCAAGGACCCAGGGCCTCAGGACAGAGGCAGGGCAAGTATCCCAGCTGCTCCCAGAGGCTGGCAGAGAGGAAGACACCAGCCTTCAGAGGCAGGAAGCCCATCTGGGTCCAAGTTGTGCTGCCTACCAGCTGGATGGCTGTGGGCCGGTTGCCTGACATCAGCCCTCATCTGTTAAGCAGGGGAGGAACTGGCGGGGCCACCTCCTATGGTTATTTAAGGACCAGAGAGGTGGGGGATGAGCCATTGCATTCTCTGTGAGCTGTACCGCCCTAGGAAGTACATCTGACTGCAGAGCTACCAAAGCCCAGGCATGCTGCCAAGCCCCTCCTGCTGTCCAGCTGAACCACTCCAGGTTTCAACACCAACTCATCAAGGTAACCTAATGAGTGCAGAGGGAATCAATGGGGAAGGTGTCAATGAAGTGGGGAGGGTGGCATTTTACAGTGGCAGCTATTAAAACTCTGCAATATGAAGGCCTTGGCACCGTCTGCAGCTGGGACTCACCAGAGCAGTGGAAACACTACATTCTCTCCCCAGTGGCTGCCAGAGCCCATGTTGAACTAGAGGTTCCAGCAGAGCCCTCCAGGGGAAGGGGAAAGGTAACCCCATGGTCTGATGTCAAAGCTGCACCCAGTCCCGAGTGCAACTTAGGGCTGAGTGGGTTCTCCTAAAGAACAACAGGATCCCCAAGTACAGGGTCCACGAAGACCTCTCTGGAGCATGGGGCTCCTTGGAGGCAGGGAAAGGAAGCAGGGCTCCAGTCCAACCTGCCACACTCCACCAGGTGTGTCCTCGTTTTGAAGATTAGACTCTGGCTAAATTGTTCTTTCAAAATGAAAGTATGCTTGGGGTGGGGTGGGGGCATAAAAGGCAATGGTATCAGGCCTAGATCCAGCATGTCACCAAACTGGTACCCTTAGAGGGCACACATGGATGCGACAGCAGGGGCCCATGAGGAACTCCGCTGGCCACAATCCCTCTTGTATTCCTCACTAAAATGCTCCTAACCTCCCTCCTCCCTCCTCCACGCCCATCTCCTCCTCCCCCAAGGGAGACTTCAGACTTCCACAAAACCTGTCTTTATCCTCAGTGTTCTAACAGGCAGGAGGCCAAACTGGCAAGCAGGAAGGAAGGAGTATAAACAGCAGAATTATTCAGAGAAATACTTACAGACAGGCCTTCCCTAGCAAAGGCTGCAGGAGAAAAAGTAGAGAAAGAGAGCAGTCAGTCAGGAGGCAGAACGTCACCTGGCAGGACAAGCCCTGGCTAACCCACACACCTGGCCCAGCCAGCTGCTCCCAGACAGCCTTGGGATTGGGCCATCCTGGAGGACTGTCCTGTCAAAGCCGGGGCAGCTCTGAAGTGGGGAGCGAGGACAGGGCTCCTGCCACAGTGTCCTACATGACCAGGGCCAGTGCAGCTCAAGATGTCACCTGCCCCTGCTGAGGCAAGTGTTCTCAGGCATCTGCGAGGGCCACCTCTGCACTTCCAAAGAAGACCCAGGGATATACCAGAATAAAATGCCGGAGAAAGACTATTTCAGTTCTGCTTGATTTTCATTTAAAAACCCTCAGATTTGAGACCTGAAAGGAATTTTATTGGATGTCCCCCACTCCTCATCAGCAAAGCCAAAGAGACTGAGGGTCAGGGCCATTAAGAGCCACATTCATGCTAGTGGCAGAGCTATAGCCAATGCCAGACACACTGCTGTCTCATTGTATTCAGCTCTGTGTGCCAGACAACAGGTTAAAGGCATGGCGGAAAAAAAAAATCTGATCCGCCTTCTGTGGTAGGTTTTATTCCCCCATTCCACAGATGAGAACACTGAAGCCAGGGAAAGTTAAATGACCTGCAGAGGCTGCAGCACTCTTCCCACATTACATCCCAGACACCAGGAGACTTAAGGAAGCTCTGGGGAAGGCAGGAAGAGTTGGGGACTTGCCAGGGCACCTAGCATTGAGGTCACAAACAAAGCCCATTCGAAATTCAGCCTATATTGATTTGTGAGAGGTCAAGCATAGGGGCAGAGGTCAGGGACCCCAATTAGGTGGCACCTAAATTGGAACCTAGGGGATTCTATATCTCACACATTTGCAAAGCTTCTTGGCTACCTTTCAGGAAGGTACTTGTTTTCTGCAAACAAATCTTAATGCCCCAAAAAAACAAAAACTTGCCGCCTTTACTTTTCTGAGCTAGTGAAAACAGTGGAATGCAGGTGGGCTGGGTTTGCTTTGGTTTTGACCACCTGTGTGAGGAAGTGGCTCCCTCCTGGCTGTCCAGACTGCAAAGGCTGCCCAGTTCTAAGGGGATCACACTGGCTCTGGACAGAGACCAGGGCCTGCGGGGCCCCAGCTCTTCTGTAATGGGAATGACAGCAAAGAGGACAAGTCAGAGAAATACCCAGCTATGGGGTAGGACAGAAATGATGCCCACTATCCACATGGACAGACTTCGGGACTAGGGGACGGCCATTGACTCCATTTTAGAAATAACTATCGCCAACGTGATCAGGACTTGGGCATTTCACTATTTCTTCTGCTCTGCCCAGTTCTGCCCAGGAAAGATCACAACCTCAGAAGGACATGTGCAGTTACAGTTGTCAGCAAGGAAAGGTCTTCAGAGAGGGCTTCTTGTGTTCTCCCCCAACACACGTACACACACACACACACACTCACACACTCACAAACACGACACATCCTGGGTCCATGGCCATCACCCCAGCCATGCTCCCCCGCAGGCAGGTAGGAAAGGGGAGTCACTAACTTGTCCGGGCAGCTGCGTGGGCACCTCCGGGGGCAGGCAGCTGGGCAGGGCAGCAGAAGTGGAAGCCACATGCTCCTCAAAGCTGTTGATGCGAGGCTTTTTGGTGGGTTCGGGGCTGGCTAGTGGGGTGACACTATTGCGTCTCATGAGCGGGTTAGGTCCCTTCTTTGCATCCTAAGCAAGACAAAGACAAAAGAGAGAAGGCGACAGTTACAGGGAGTAAAGGGAGGGAGATAAGCCACACAAAAGTCCCCCTGCTCCTGGGTTTTATGGACACAACCACAGCTAGACCAAGTGAGTGGCAGTGGGCCGTGTTTGTGCCACGACCTCTGATCGGGGACAGGTGTGATTCCCTCCCGTTCCTTCCCTTGATCATTCCAAAGGGCATCCATGTGACAGGGACAATGTGCGCACAAGAATAATTTCAATCACAGCAGAGAAGGAGATCAGAGAAAAGAACCTTGCTTCCAGCCCCCAAAGGGCCCCAGAGGGGAGCCCAAGAGAAAGACTTAGGTCTGAGGCTCAAAGGAGAGGGAGAGAAAGGTGTCGGTGCCAGTCCCCTTCGCCCAGGACCTGCAACGCACATGCACCTGCTGAGCACTCTCGTGAGCCATACCCTGCCAGAGGACGGGACTCGGGGGCTTCCAAACCAGCCAGGAGACCAAAATTAGGAAAATCGGCATCAGGCAGAGTCTGCCAGCTAGGACCAGACACCATCATTCCCACAGGCCCTGGCCCAGAGCTTCTGCCCTGAGGTCTCTCTGTCACTGCACCACTCTGGTGCTCCGCAAGCAAGTGTTCTGAGACCCCAGGTCTGGAGCAGCAGGTCGCAGCCAGGCCAGGGCTGTCCTCACAGGGCTAAGGAAGTGCAGGTTCAGTGACCTCATTTAGAGGGGAGAGGACTACAAAGGCAGGGTGAGGCGGCGGAGGGATATCGGCCTCTCATTTCACTCCACAGATGAAGCTGGGCAGTAAACTGGCTAACGTCTCATGTGTTCTTCATGCCAAGCTTTGATGGCCAAGCTCCTTAGATGGGGGACTCCACAGAAAGTCACGGTCGGTATAAGACTACGCTAGCAAAGCACGCATTTTGACAGCCTGTAGAAAACAAATTCAAACTCACTTTTACAATGCACTCCTGGACAGAGATGAAATCTGCTCAGGAAGAGATTGCCCTGAGTGACCCGAAAACCTCAGAGCTCCCCGAGGAAGACAAAAACGACCAAGCTCTGGGTGTCCTGAAATCCTTCCTACTGGCCATCCCTCACGTCTCCCACCTGAACTCCTGATTCTGAACCTAAGCACATGCAGATGACCCGTCAGATGATGGGCGGATCCTGTCAGAGCCAGGATTCTGGAACTTGAAAGCAGTTTTAGGGGCTGAAAAAAGCCACAGACACTGTGCTAGGGTGAGGTTTCAACGGGAGATAATCGCACTTCTCCAGTCAAGTAGAAATGCAGGGAGAGAGCAGGGAAAGAAAGAAAAAGAATAAACAGATCCCAAGAAGCCACAGGAAAGACGGGCAGGAGCACAGAGGTCCTGACCAGGGGAGCCACCCAGGCCAAGGGCTAACAAGCTGCTCCGTGAGAACTTCATGGGGCCTTCCCCAGGCCTCCCATGATGAAGGCCAGGAAGGGGGCATCATCCATCGAGAGACCTCCACTCACCTCTGACCTCTCCCGGTGTGTGCTCACTGACTCCACATTCAGGTAGATGGATTCCACACGGCAACCTGGGGGGATGGAGGATGGGGGAGAGAACAGCTTCTTTTAAAGGGACAGTCCCACCTACAACTCCCAGGGGCCACCCAGAGACACAGACCCCAGAGGTAGTGCTTGGAAAGGGCTGCTACTCACCATAAGCGACAGGTGTCAGTTTCAGGACAGTGTGAAGGGGGCATTTCAGGTAGGGCATCTCTTCTGAAAAAAGAGAGATGGTCCAACAATTAGACTTGAGGCAGGAGGAAGAATCAAGGGATATCTGTGGGCCCACACCAGGAGCCCCAAGAGCCCCAGAAGCTGTGCTGGGGCAAGGGCATCTCATCCCAATATTCAGGTCATCCTGCCCAAGGAGGGTGACCCTAGGAAAAGACACCTAACCAAAAGAATACAATAAAAACAAACCCCAAACCCACATTCTCTTTAAAAAAAAAAAGCTATTTTCCCAAAAATTCAGGTCTGTCTAGGGCATAAGATTCTCATTAGCGTTCTCTGGGCTCTTTGTTCTTTGGAAGTAGACTGATGAGAAGAGATGCACCCCCCACCCACACACATACCCAAAGACCCTTCTTCTATGTGTGGAGCTGAGGGCTTTGGGTAGGCTGTGTTTAATGTGATGAGCAGTGTTCCCAAGGGCCAGCAAGGTAGCGCTGGGAGGAGAGGACCCTGCTGCAGGCTGCGAGCCAGAGCCCTGTCCTGCCTCTCCTAACACTCAGACACGCAGCAGAGTGGGCAACCACAGGTCTGCAGCCACCTGCACTCAAGGGCCAGATTTCTTCCCACTCCTTCCCAAGGCCACAGACTGCCCGACCAAACCTGCACTCTTATCCAGGAAGTAGGCCAGCAGGCAGCGCAGCACAGCCTGGTGACAGATGACCAGCACATTCTCCTGGCGCTCCAGCTCCATGATCACAGGCTCCAGACGCTGGACCAGATCCTGGTAGGACTAAGCACAGGGATGGGATACCATGTTAGAGCAGAGGGCGCCTGGAGAAGAACACTGCCACCCACCTCTGTCATCATGGATGAGAGCTCAGGATTGGTCACTCCACCCGTGAATCCATCCATCCATCCACCCACCCACCCACCCACCCATCCATCTATCAACCCATACCCTGGGTGTTCAGCTCTGGAGGTGAACACAAAAATCCTGAAGGAAACATACACCTGCCAGCTTCACTTAGTGCCTTCCTCTTCCTTCACCTCTCCAAGGCGGTGAGGGACAGAGGTGGTTGAGGAAGTGCAGACTGTACAACAGAATATTACTCAGCCATAAAGAGGAATGAATGACACACACCCCAACATGGAGGAACCTCAAAACCTTTTATGTCGAGCCAAAGAAGCCAAGCACAAAAGTCCACATTTACTGCATGACTCCACTTCTACAAAATGCCCAGAACAGACAACTCCAGAGGCAGGAAATAGGCTCATGACTGCCAGGGGCAGGGGCTGGGGGAATCTGGAATGACTGCTAACAAATCTGAGGTCTCCTTTAGGGGTGAGGGAAATGTTCTGGAATAAGTGGTGACGGTGACATGGCACTGTGAATACAGCCAGCCTCCTGACTCTGTGGGTTCCACAACCAACTACAGATTGAAAATATTCAGGTGATGTCAGTTTGCAGCTGGGGACAGTGGCACACCTGTAATCCCAGTGACTCAGGAGGACCACAAGTTCGAGACCAGCCTCAGCAACTCAGCAAGGCCCCATCTCAAAATAAAATAAAAAAGGGCTGGGGGTATAGTTCAAGGGTAAAGTACTTGCCTCACATGTGGGAGGACATGGTTCAACACCTAGTGTAGGGGGGAAAAACTGCATCTGACTGACTGAACGCAGATTTTTTTTTAAAAATTGTCATTATTCCCTAAACAACTGTTTAACAACTGATTACAGAGTATTTACATTATGCTGTTATTGTAAGCAATCCAGAGATAATTTCAAGTACAGGGGAGGATGTGTGTTAGATTATATGCAAAAATAATATCTTGAGTAACTATCTAGAGGGTTTGGGATCTTCAGGGAGTTCTGAGTCAATTCCCTAAAGACACCAAGAGACAACTGTCTACTAAAACCCACTGGCTCACATATTTTAACATGGTTAAAATTGATAAATTTGTCAACAAATGTGAAAAAAAGGGGTATGGTTTTGTCTCTAAATAAAGACCTGCAAAGCTCCTCTTCACACGGGCTCCTCCCACCCTCCTTCCTTTTCTTCTTCTAACCAGCAGCCCAGTGAGCGAGGGCCAGCATGAGACAAGAGGGCAGCATGCTGCCCGCCAGGGACTGCGGTATGACAAATGCTCAGAAGGGCATGGCCAGGAAGGGCACACTAGGCGTCCACCAGGGGCCTGGCCAGGCTCCCACAGCACCACAGGGTGACCGGCTGCACAAGGGGAAATGCCCTCTGCCAGCATCAGCTCAGACCCCAGCACCAGTGATACTAGATGACATCCTGGGGCCTGGCCTGTCTGCTATCTCAAGCTCTGGTGCCGAGCGAAGCCTCGTCCCACGTCACTAAGAGTGTAGAGTCAAATCCATGCATTCCCCACTTTCTCTTATGGGAAAATACAACTGCACTTCCCCTAAGGCTGTGGAACAAGGAAAGTCAAACCAAAGAAACAGAAAAGTTCCTAAGTGGAACCTTGGCAGAGGTAACAAGGAGCCTGCAGAGAACAGAATGAGGGGCCGCAGCCCTCTCTATGCCAAGCCCACCCACAGCACTCACCACCTACCCAACCTCCTCATAGGAAATGAACAAAGGCCCACAGAGAGCACAGGACAGGAGGCAACCCCCAGCTCACCTCGCCTGTGGGATAGCGGTAGTAGTACTTGTCCTGCTCACGCAGCGCGTACTCCTCAGGGTAGGTGTCCCTGATCTCTTCGTAGGTCAGCTCCTCACACACACCCTGATGGAAACACCCGCAGTCACTCCAGGGAACACACGCAAAGGGACCACGGCAGGAGGCTCTGTAGGAGACCTGGGGCAGCCACCCAGGATGCCCCAGGGACACGGGTACCTCTCTGCCCCCAGCCTCCCTACCACGGCCACACCAGTCCAGGGACTCACGGCATCGATCTCGTTGAGCGCCTTCCATTGCTCATAGGGGAGCTTCAGCGCCTCTGCCGTCTGGATGGTGCTCTTCAGCTGGCTGGTCCACACCCGAAGGTCCTTCAGGTTCTGCTCGTCCACAAACTTGCTCAGGGCATTGGCAAACTGACAATTGACAGGGAGAGGGGGCACAATGATGCGGGTCCCGCGGGGTTCACACCCCCCATGCAGGGCTGGGCTGACACGGACCCACAGTACTGAGGGTGGCTGACCCCACAGGACACAAGCTCCTCAGAGCCCAGGAGACGTGGCTCTGCTTGTCCTCTCCAGGTACACACACACACACACACACACACACACACACACAGTATAGTGAGTCAACGACAGGAGGCAAGGCACACCCCACCACCCTCCTACACATGGGAGCCGGCCCCTTCCTGCCACCCATCAGCCCCCAGCCCCTGCTCTCCGCTCTCCTCCTACCTTCTTGCCTCGGCTGGACAGGCCCGAGTCCCCCCCAATCTTGCCCTGGAGGTTGAACTCATTCTCGCCGTGCCGGCACAGGTAGATGGTGCGGGGCTGCACGTGGATGTTCATTAAGTAGTAGACGATGCGGCTCTGGATATGGTCCTGAACTCTGTTCACCAAGAACCTCCGGCCAACGTCGATCACTTTGATCAATGACAAGTCCCTACAAAGAAACACCACTGAGGACCACCCCTTGGGCCTCCCTGGACAGCACCACCAACACACCCACCCCTGGACCTGGGCCGGCTTCCAGAGACTCGCTCCCTGGGAAAATGGCAATGCGGGACCGAACACTCTGGGGCAGACTCCGTCTTTCCCTCCAGGAGCCAGAGAGTAAAGGCAAGGCTGGTTCCCACAGCAGGGTCTGGCCAAGAAGCTGGCTGGCCACCCAGGAGAAGAGGGGAGAGAAAAATGAGAGAATGGATAAGAAATGAAGGAAGTCTCAGGGGACAGGAGCAAGACAGGGCTCAAGTGGGCACCCCTCCTCCACCTCTACGGGCTGTCAAAAATATTTGTATTGTAATCAAAGATGTTTCTAAAGACATTTTAATAATTTCATTTTTTTACTGGTACACTATAAATAGTGGGATTTGTTATGCCATGTGTACAGGCACATGATTTTTTTAAGGAGAGTTTATGAAAATATTCAGGGGTAAATGCTTTGTGGGAACATCAAGAGAACATTAAAAGCCCTACTTGAGGTAATTCAGAGATGGTCATCTCTTGGAATTACCTGTCACATTTATCGGGGTCCAGCGGCTGATAGCTGGCTTCATAGCAACTGATTCTCTTCATAAAGTCGTCCATGGCTTCTGCCGAGTTGCAGTCTTTGTAATCCGGGCTGGAGATTTTAACTTCCTGTAATGCCACAAAGAGGCAGCTGATGAATCACGCTGGGAGGCTTTCTGCTTAGATAAAGCAGGATTTGGAGCTTTCAAAAGGGGAAAGCCCAGAAAGGCTCAGAATAAAGATTATCCTACCCAGCGTTTAAGAGGGGGAAAAAAAAGAAAGAAACTGGGGGTTGACTCAGAGCCCCATGATTACATGGGGAGAATGCCCAGGGGAGACAGAAACACCGGCGGCAAGGACAGACACAGGAAACCCACAAGGATCCCGTAATGAACACCTCAACAGACCACCAAGTCAGTATCAGTCCCGTAACTGAGTCACCACCAGATAGCCTGGCCCTCAATTCAGCTAAATCCCACATAAGCACTTGTAATGTTCCCCACGCCAGGAGCAGGTCAAACGGCACATTAACAGTTTCTAGGGATGCCCCTGACCTTGGGTGTGCTATCCATTCACCTGGACAGAGGCAGCACCCACTTGTGGCTGTCTGTGACTAACTGCTTGTCTAACTAGACCTGGGGCCACACCTCTCCAAGGGCTGCCCTCCTCAGTGAAGCTGCCCTCTCCTGTAACGGCACAGTAGGTCCGAAGAACCAGGCAGATTTTAGAGTAATTCATGATTTTTTAATGCCTGTGCTTCCTTTCTCCTTGACAACCATCACAACTAGGAGACAGGAGCACTTCATGGTGCAGTTACAGATGGGCAGACCTAAAGGCCTGGTGAGGCCACTAAAATGGTAACATGTATCACACAATAAAAAAATAAATAAATCTAAGTTCACCAGTTCCCATACCTAACCTGCAAAGCTGCTTCAAGATTTAACCAAAGCAAGAGGCTTCTGCGCACCCAGAGGGTTGGGGAAAATGACCACCTGCGTTAACACTAAAGGATAAAAGACTGATAGCTAAGGGCTGGGGTTGTGGCTCAGTGGTAGAGCGCTTGTCTAGCTGTGTAAGGCACTGGGTTCGATTCTTAGCACCATATGTAAATAAATGAATAAAATAAAGGTCCATAAACAACAACAAAAAAAAAAACCTGCTAGTTAAGCACATTGGTAACAACTCACTGGGGAAAATGGTTTCCCAGCTGCACCTGGCTTCTCTACCAAGTGGAACAAGGAAAGTCAAACCAAAGAAAAAGCAAAGGCCTTTTTTCAGATTATTCAACTCCTGTTTCCTTGTACTTTGAGCCTCTTCCTTTGGATCCACTGAAACTCATTTGAACAGGTTTTCCTCAATTCAAAGAGCTCTTCCTGAAATATGAACTCATTTCTTACCAACGCCTATAAGTATATCCTCTGCCTTGGAGAAAAGGACCAATATTAGAAGCTAATGTGTGTTTAGAATCCCTTTAAAAATGCATATTTGTGCCGGGTGCAGGGGCACATGCCTGAAATCCCCAGGGACTAGAGGTAGGAGGATGGCAAGTGTAAGGCCAGCCTTGGCAAATTAGTGAGATACTGTCTCAAAATAAAATAAGGCCGGGGATCTAGCTCAGTGGCAGAACATCCCTGGGTTTCATCACCAGCACCACATACACAAAAAAAGATCTATTTGTATGCAACAATACCATAGCATTCACTATCCAAAAAGAACTGCTCTTCTTTATGAATGTGTCTTATTCTGATATGTTTAAGCTAGAAAGAAAATGGTCTACAATATGAAAAGGTGACCTGAGAGAAAGTCCTCACACAAACCATTTCTATGTACAATACAATAGTTATGATAAAATTAAGAATTAATCAAACTATGCTGCCAAGTACCCTCCAGCTCCCCTTGGCACAATGGAGAAGTCTGGTAGATGTACTAGCAGGAGAACAGTTTTACTACACTCTTTCTTCCCAAGCCTGGGGACTCTGCCTTCAGTATGTCAAGTCCTAGAGACCTGTGCTTATACACAACCCAAGAGACTTTCTCAGCAGAGGAGATCAGCTCGCTGCTTCCTATCCCATCTGGAGGGGTGAACTGCCCTTGATCCCAGACAGACCTGTGGCCACTCCACTGCCAAGCTCCTGTCACCTGCAGAAACTGCTCCCCATCTCCTCACTGGAAATCTCTCATGTTCCCAACAAGACTTTCCTGCCAAGTCTCCTCAAGGACCCTGGGTAGAGCAAGCCCAGGGCAGCAGGCTCTTGAGGTACACATCCCGTTGCCCTTCTGCCCCCGCCCCATGTCCACCTCACAACCTGGGCCCCTACTTTTCTAAGATTACAAATGTCTTTGCAGTCAGAGCGGCTACATGTGTGTGGGGCTTCCTGATGGTCTTACCATGATGTTGGAGGCCACAACTGTAGGGTCATCACACACGGACTCAATGAAAAATGCCTGGTGGAAGTGAGGCAGATATGTTAGGACACAACAAACATCACAAAGGGCCAATTCCAACGTCACTACCACATACGAGAAGCAAGGACGACTGTCCCAAAGACATAAAACAATCACCTGCGAGCAGCCGATCCCTCCCCTTCCCCACAGAGGAGCACCTCCCCAACCTGAGCCCGGCCCCAGGAAGACCCTTTCTATAGTCAGCAAAACTCAGGTGGCAGGAGGCAAAGGACCCAGCAGGGATCAGGGAAGGAGCTGGGCTCTGAGGAGTCCTCCTCTTCCCGGAGCTTATTGGGACAAAGCGAGAAGTTTGGCTCACCTTGAAGTCATTTTCTTTGGCAAAATGCAGGATCATGTGTCTCCTCTCTCGAGTAGTGTTGGTGGCATCAAACACCTGGTAGAGAGAAAGGTGAGGAAGAAGAATCTGAGTTTGATAATATTTACCAACCATAAGCCTAAAAATATGCTTCAGGAGAGTCTGTCCTGCCGGGAGCCTCTCCAGGGGTATGCTCCCAGTGGCCCTCCCCTCTCCCACAGCTACAGCTCTCAGGGACAGGAGGGGAGGGGTGGGAAAAGCAAACAAACCAGCAGTGACATGAAGTGGGAGGGTGGACACAGAGGGATACTGGCTATAGTGCTGGCAGCAACCTAGGCCCTGCCATGAAGGTATCCTGCTGCCCAGAGAGGGGCAGGAGACAGCAAAGCAGGGCCGCATCTCAAGGCCATCCCAAGACCACCTTCCTGAGTCACCTGCTTCTCTCAACCCTCAGGGCCAGAGGCTCTTGGTTCTCTATTATCCCTACAATGGCTCTCAGTACCACTCTGGCCAGTGAGGACATCACCCTGCTGGGGGGCAGGAGACCAAGCCGGCTATATTCCCCAGACTTACTGCAATTTGTCCCCCTTCCTTTGTCAGGTAGCTTTTGACATCTCTCAAGGCAGCCAAGGCACACTGCCTGCAACACAGAAGGAAGAGAAGCCGCACTTCAGCGCAGGTTGTGCACGGGGAAGCCCGAGCACCCCCACTTGCCCAGCACGAGAACCTGCCCTTCAAGTTCTATGCTGCCAGGTGCCAGCCAGGCCTCCTCGGGTCTAGAGGCTTCCAGTCAGAGGCCCACTGCAGACAGTTAAAGGCGCCCTTGGGAGATGGTGCTCACTCCTAACTGCACACTGGAATCTCTCCTGGAGGAGCTACTAAACTGACACCAGAGCCCACCCACGGATCCTCACCAGGCTGGCCTGGGTGGAGCCTTGGCATCGGCATGAGAATCTTTACAAGCTCCCCTGCTGAGTCTAAAGGTGCAGCCAGGACTGAACACCAGCGTCCAAGGGCTTCAGGAGGCCTTGGGCTTAGCAAGAAATCCTTTGCAAACACAAACAGATGATTTCCAATGAAAAGGACTTTGTCCACTCTCAGGATGTGGCTGCTGTTGTTGGTCTGTCCCACATCAGCTCCCTCAGGACATCTGGGAACTGATCAAACTCAGTCTCAGAGATGCCGAGAGGCTTGCCCTAACACTGGACCCAGCTGAAGACCACCAGTGGACAGCCACACTGCAGGCCGGCTCTCCCTCCCTCTTACAGAACCTGGCTTGGACACCAAGCAAACCAACACCCCGAGCAAGTAGCCCGTGTCTTACTTTCGCACTTTCATGGCTTCCTCATTGTCAGGGCGGAAGAAGTTGTAAGAGCTGTACTGCTTCACGGCCTCACGGCGGTACTCGCCCACATTGAACACTAGACGGAAAGACAAGGACAGCCCTGGATGACCCAGCAAGAGGCAGGGGCCCACAGCCAACTGCAAACACATCTCAACCAAAAGAGAAAACCAATCCCCCACCAACACACGCCAGTGTGTACGACTACATCCAGCATGGAAGCCAGAGGGTGGACCTCCCAGTCCCAGGTCATCATCCCTTGCCTAGAGGCAAGCAGCTCTGTTTCCCAGAACAAATTACAGTACCCACTGCCACTGGCTCTACCTGAGGCCATCTCACGTGGCCAGCCTCCAGTCAATCACGATATGGTGGAAGAGGGGATGGCCACAGGTCTAGCAAAAATAGGAATAATGATTTCTGCCTTTGGTACCCAAGTGAGTGGGTCTCACAGTGGTGCCAAGGGGATAGTTAAGGGGGTAGTGGGTGCATTGCTCAGTGGTAGAGTGCAACTGTAGCATGCACAAAGCCCTGGGTTCAAGCCCCAACACCAAAAGAAAAATTGACTGGGCATAATAGGAGACAACAAATATAAAACACTGTCCGCTGTCCTCAAGATAGTTCTCATTTAATTGGGAAAACCAGACAGAGATTCATAAAAGTATCACTGACAGCATGAAAGTAGGGAGCACTGGAGGTCAGAGGAATGTCACAACTAATGGGCCACACTAATTTCATGAAAGATTCACACAGAATGATGTGGCCAGAGACAGCTTCATGGAGGAGTTGACACATGAATCAGACAGGATTTGGGGAGTGGGGAAAAAAGAGAATGGCCAGTGAGACAAAACCTAAAGGATAAGGAGGGGTGGTTGACGCAGTACGGTGGGGACACGGCTGGGATAGGACTGAGATCAGACTCTAAGCCCCAGGACAGGCCACCCCTGCCCCTGCCCACTGGCACCAGTAACTGGAGGTGAAGGTCAAGTTTTTTACAGCTGAGGGGGTCTGGCATGCAGGGCTGCAGCACTCAACAGAACAGCCTAGCTGGGGACCCCACGCACCTTTCGTTGGGACACCAATCCAGTTGAGGTAGCGAGTCAACTTCTTGGAGATGTAAGTTTTGCCTCGGGCGGGGAGGCCCACCATGACAATCACCGTTGGGGAGTTGGTCAGCTTCGGCCCACAAGCTGGAAAGAGTAGTCAAGAGATGAGTCACAGGTCAGGTGACACAAGTTGATGAACAGAGTCTGATGCCCCACAACAAACTTAGAAGAATGACACTGAATTACGTACTTTACTCTCTGTTCCAAAGCCCCTAGTACCGATAAGCCAGCAGACCAGGGCCCTGTGATGGCCAAAGCCCCAGTGAGGCCTTGAGCTCAGTCCCCCTTTCAGTTACAAAGGTGGCAAAAATAGTACCAGTCCCAAATTCTCAATCTGACAAGAAGGGTCCTGACCCAGCCGGGGATCCCAGTTACCAACAGCATGGGAACAGCGCTCCTGGGGAAATGAGGAAGGGACCCTAGCTCAGGGTGGGGAAGTCAGCAGTGGGGAGAGGCCCTTTCCAACCAGTGTGCAAACTGAGGGGACAGGTAGCAAAGGGACATGGAAGGTGGTCCAGTGAGCCAAGAGACAGAGAGAAGCCAATCGTCAACCTTCTAACCTCCTCCCAGGCAGTCCAGGCAGGATTTCTTTAAAAAAAAAAAATTCAACTGCCAATTTCTAAAAGTCAGAGCTTATCAAACGAAAGTAGGTCGGGGACCCAGAATGCTGATTTCCCTTCTGGCCCCTGCTGCTGAGTGACTGTCCCATATGCCTCAGAATCTCTACAAGACAACACAAGGGAAGGAGGTTTTCAGAAAGCAGCTAAAAGAAGCCTGTTCTAGAAACTGAAGGCCCAGTGTCTCCTTGGTCATCGTCTTGCCCCTGAGACTCCTGGAATTCCTGTATCCCAGTGACAAGCCAGCTCCCAAAAGCCAAAGGCCACCTGCCAACTCCAGCCCAGCTGTCCTTGTCCCTTCCTGGCACAGGCCCATGACCTGCAGAAGGAGCTATGAAAGCCCTACATCCAGCCCAGGCAGTCATTAGAATTGGACAGAGGCCCAGACTCCAGGGGAAGATGGAAGGTAGCTGGGTGGGAAGGAAGTAATGCCAAGCCCTGAGGACAGGCCCAAGTGGGACACCCAACACAATCCCTACCGAGGTCACCTTGAACACACCACAGAGGTGCTCCAGGATGTGCCCCTGGGCCTAGTTGGAGTGAGGTGGAGTGTCTGAGTGGCAGGCAGGCAGATGCTTTGCTTCCCATTCCTACTCATTAATATTCAGGATCTGAGTTAGGAGGACCAAGTAGGGCCATCACAGCCTCCCAGAGGCTCAGAAGCTATACAAGGCCTGTGGCCACATTCCCTCAGTTTCCAGAGGTCCTGGAACAAACAGATTCCTAGAAAACAGATGCTTATCGCTGACAAGGAGAGTCCCACAGGTGATAAGCACTTGAGCAGTGCAAACATGCACCAAGGGGCCACATATCTATCCCCAGAGAGAGGGCCAGGGGGCGTAGGACACACCCCACCCCAACCCCAATAATACGGGTAGCTGCAGTTAACAAATCACAAAGGGGCTACAGCTGACATCTTCTCACCTGTGCCCTTAAACAATATCCATACACTGATCCCTCCCCGAGACCAGCGCCCATCCGCATCAGGTGACCCAACAGGCCACCACCCAAGAGCATCCAGACATGCAAGGAGACACACAGCTGTGCACACATGGAATCTCTCTCTTGGAATCAGGCCAAGGAAGCAGAGGCAGAAGCTGACTGATTTATCAAGTCGGAGATTATGTCTATCCACTAATCACAGGAACAAATCTCCTCTGGCAGTAGACTATCTGGGAGGCAGAAAACAAACAAAACCATCACCACAGCAGTCAATGCCTTTGGGCAAAAGGTCAGGTTGAATTTCAAATCCAAAGAAACCATCACTCCCTCTTTGACAAGGTGGAAGCCATTCTTCCCATTGGGTGGGCTTCTTGCCTGAGATTCAAAGGGGGCTGCAGCTTCCCTCCATCCAAATGTCCCCTGGATCTCAGCCAAAGGAGGGAACCACATGTCCTTTTAACTAAATCTCTGGCTACTATTCCATCCCCCCCCCCATTACCCTTTATTAAACTCAAAGCACATCTCAAATGCCTGCATGAGCCTATAATCTCCTATCCCTGCCAGAATCCCCTTAGACCCCCAGTCTCTTCTCTTCGGTCCTTTTTACCACCTATCCCGACACATATGCCCTCCCTGGATCCCTGCCTTTCCGTCTCCTACAGCACAAAGGACGAGGCATGACGAGTGCTGACAAGATTTTCTAAGGTATACTAGTCTTTTTCATTTCATTTTGTATAAATGCATAACATTTTAAATTTTTGACAGTCTTTGAAGCCGGCCACGGTGGTGCACACCTATAACCCCAGCAGCTTGTGGGGGCTAAGGCAGGAAGATTGTGAGTTCAAAGCCAGCCTCAGCAATTTAGCAAGGCGCTAAGCAACTCAGTGAGACCCTGTCTCTAAACAGAAAAAAAGTACTGCAGATGTGGCTCAGTGGTTGAGTGCTCCCAAGTTCAATCCCTGGATCCCACCCCCCAAAAAAGTATAAGAGAATACACATGTTAACTATGTAATGGGGAAGGAAGCCCTTGTCTAAAGACCACTGATTACAGTCTGGGAGACTGAGGCTAAAAGAATTGCTGATGGTGAAGGCCACTGTCCCTTGAGTAAAAACTCACAGAAAGCCACCAAGTCTCAAGAATGAACCTCAACCCTATATGCTCATAAGACACATGCTCTGGATGCTGGGTGGACAGGAAGATGTGTGGAAGAACCTGGGTCAATGTCACCTAGTGATGGGTACCACTGAGCGAAGACCTGAGTGTACAAAAGCTGGCCATACCATTCTGTTAGTTCATAGCGCAAGCATGCTACCTGTGCCCATTCCCTACAGGTAAACATACACTGGACTCCAAATGAAAGCAAGAGGGCTAGCAAGTCAGCATGCATCTGCAGTGACAGTGACTGGAGAAACACACTATGAAAAAAAGTCGGCAGGCAGGCAGATCCCCCACCTGGACAGTGCTTGTCTCTAAAATGGAGGGTGAAAGGCTGCAGCCCTGAGCCCCAACTCCAGCTCTCCTCCTGAAGCCCCTCTGGACTGCTGCAGCTTAAATAAACCCGCTTCATGAAAACTCCTCGGGTGTCCAGCCTTATCTGTCCTACATCACTCCCTGGATCAAGTGAATAGCCTCCCTGTGAACATGCAACATGTGGACAAAAGCAGACACTGGACAGCTGCCCTCAACTGCCCTCCTGACACTAGACTCACCATTACAAAATGGTTGGCAAGACTCTCTGCTGTGTCTCCCTCCACTTCCCTTGAACTTACTTCTACTCGGGGGCTCTGCATATTTTGCTAACCTTAACAATAAAAAGATGCTAAGTCATCTCTTCTTTTCTACAAGTAGGTGAGACACTTCAATTAACAAGTTCAAGGGGAAGAAATGTAAGGGGCTGTTTATGAGAGCTATGAACCAAGAAGGGACCCATTTCCTCAAGCATGTAAGGAAACTGAGATTTTGTCCATTTATAGGAACCACCTCGACCTACTCACAAGCAAGGGTAGAATCAAGCTGTGCAAAAAGACCTGCTTTGATGCTTGCAATACACAACCACCCTAAGAAGTTCTTTCTGGAAAAACAGACTTAACCCAGCTGGCTCTAGGGAGACCAGAATGCAGCACAGAGAAGCATGCTGTCTACTGAACAGCAGCAGAATGCAGCTAACAGACACCTCTTTCAAAACCTCTTCTGCACTGTTCAATGGCATTGGCATACATGAATTACTCTGCATACACATTTTAACTAATGTCAACCTAATCTTAAAACTTCACAGCCCCATGATCTTTACCAGTGACACTGGGCAATGGGTATTTTATAGCGACTCTTCGGCAACTTTAGGAGGCAACAGAATAGCAGAGTGGGAAGCACACAGGGCATGAAGTCAATAAATAGTTTGAAGCCTGGCCTCCCCACTTCCTTGGATAAGTTCCTGTCTCAGTGTCTCCGCCTCCTTTTCTATACAATGGAGGGATGCACCATAGACACTACTGTAAGAATGAACTGCAGCATAATTCACGTGAATTGCTCCCTGCAGTGTCCTCTGAACCTATGGGCCATTATGGCTACCTGAATGACAGACAACGGCTCAGTTTAGGTCTTTCCCTTTCAGAATCCTTCATCTGCTCTTTCCCAAAAGAGTGACTCTTTTAAGTGGTTAAGCCTAAGGAGCTTTTAAAAATTAAGTTAACTGGGTTCTGTCTGGAGCAATTCTGAACTTGGTTTGAGGCTCCAGTATGGATTTTTTTTTCCCCAAAATCTCACCCAAATGATTTTAATGGGCAGCCTCAGCTGAGAATCACTGCAGGGGTCACTTGAGGACAAGGCAAGGATTTCTCTGGAATACTGACCCATCTTCCCTAAGTTAGAATGCCATCAACAGGAATAACTTCTAGAAGAAAATCTATCACATCCCCCTATCTTCACTGCAGTCAATCCTCTGCAGTCTACTCTAAATCCTAAGTAAAGATAAACTGGCTTTGTCTCATGCACCCATATTTTAGGAAAAAAAGATGTGGTCTTTATACCTGCTGTTTAAGGCACTGTACTCACCAGTGATAATACCCTCTAAGCTCCAATGAAATGACAACTTGTCTAATGCCTAAGTGCTAGGCCTTATCTCAGAACCACAGCACTGAGAGGGACAGATACCCTCATCCCCAATTAAGTAGACAGAATGTAATTTACCTTACAGACAAGGAAACTGAGGTTCTGAATGGCTAATAAATCATCTAGATGAGTAAGGAGGTGCTCAATTTTTAGTGATGATAAATTAAAAGAGACCCTTGCTAACCAAGAACTTAATTCTAATCAATTCAGCTGATTCACAAATTCAGGCAAGTCTCCATTTGCATTTGATGAAGCACCAATCCGGGTGCTTCAAGGGCAGTAATATCATTCATCTTGGGCTCATCCATTTGGGGCTTTTTACTGTTGTTCTGTTCTTTGTACCTGAACAGAAACATTCCCTGTGTCTTTTTTTTTTAAATATTTATTTTTTTAGTTTTAGGTGGACCCTATATCTTTATATTTATGTGGTGCTGAGGATCGAACCCAGTGCCTCATGCAAGCTAGGTGTATGCACTCTACCACGAGCCACAACTCCAGCCTCTGTCCTCCTTTAGTAATAAACTTCAGAGGGATCTGCTGCAGACCTCCAAGGAGACCACTGATAAAGATGGTAACAGGTTTAGGAGAAAGAAATCCCACCAAGTGTTCCAAATGCTATTAGAGAAGAAGTGTTCATCTTCCCCCAGTCCAATAAAAGACAAATATAACTACATAAACTGGGAAAGACACCACTATTTGAAATAAGGAGGTGTAATAAATACCCAGGCTGCAGATATTTTTGTAAGAAGGAATGTGTTAGAGACTCCACCCCAGAGCCACACACAAGGATTCCAAGAGCGGGCGGGACACAGACATGGACAAGCATCTTAATCCATCTGCTTTGGCAACACACCTCCCCCTCAAGCTCTGAATGGTTCTGACAGTGATTCTTCTTCTTGGGCAGATCTCTCATCTGCGTGAGATACGTGCAGGCTCAGGGAGACTAATGGACTGAATTCTGAAGCCTGAAAAATGTCTTCCTGCATGCTGCCATCTGTCATAATCACTACTGCACTAATGTCAACCAACCTCAGTGTCCGCTCAGAAACACAGGATGTTCCTCTCAGACCCAAACCTGGGGACCATCCCAGGGAGTCTGTGTGCATGCATACATACCATCACCTGAACTTACATGGATATAGGAAAACAACCCATATATTGTGCGGCTGATTGCAGGTTACTAAGTACCCTACAGATGATATTTACTGTATTCAAAAGTCGGAGAGGGGCAGGACTTGTTTCTGCATCTGGCTCTGGTCAAATCTCCCTGAGGGTATTTTTATAGAAAGACAATCAAGACCTCACCCAGCCCCAGATTATCTGAAAAAGCTGAGAAACGAGAGAAGCCTGCCAGTCCCTCCTGGCTACCTTGCCCAGAGAGAGCGAGCAGGATAGCTCTTCCCCCCAAACCCACAGGCCCAACAGAAAGGACCTGCTGGCTGGGCCAGCGCCACCCATTGGGAGCAGGTCTTGGGCAGAGAAGTCGTGACTCAGACCCAGCAAACCTCCAAGTGAGCTGTCACTGTCAGCGGTGGCCATCCTGAGAAACGTGGCAATCTGGAACTAAGGTGCCCTCAGATGACCGCAAGCCACGAGAATTTGCACCTGGATCCCACCCTTGCCTCTCAGGCTACCGACCTGGGCTAAGCAAAACGCCCAGCACGTACGTAGTTCGTCCTTCTGCACCTGTTGGGCTTTTCTGAACGACTTACCTGAAAGGGCAGCATCGCCTTAGAGCCATTTCAACTGCCATTCAGCCGCCCGAGAGGCGACTCTGTGCAGCTAGAGACTGAGCCCAGGGGAACCTCCAAATCGTTTACCAAGGGCGTCTGGCGTGGGGGGGAGGCGAACTGCCAGCAAATTCCGATCTCGGGAATTTGCTGTTTTTTTGTGCATTTGTGAAACGCTGCCAACCGCAAAGGGCTTGGTTCCGGATGGCTGTCGCCCCCAGCCTGGGCGCTCCTGAAGTCGTGGAAAGTGCGGGAGGAATGGAAATACAGAGACAAGGGAGTGGGAGACGGGAATCGACAAGGAAGAGAAAACATAAATATATGGTGAGGGTAAAGAAAGAGGAGACAGAGAAAGAGCAATGTGCAGGTAAGAGAGAAGACAAATGCATAGCAAGGGGGAGAGAGGAGATGGAAATGCAGAGAACGGAGGAAGGTAGGGAGACAGGGAACCCCGAGGGTGCCCGGAGGAGAGGAGCGAAGGCGCGGCGGGCCGCGCCCCTGCTCCAGTCAGTCAGCCACTGGTGCCCGCGCTGAGCGCGCGGACTGGCCTCCCCGGAGTCCCCTAGGCGCACGCTTTCCGCTGCCTCAGCTCTCGCAGCTGGGTCCCGGGCACGCTCGCCGTTTCCGGGACCACAGCGCCCCCGCCGTTCAGCGCCGGAGGCGCAGCCTGCCGCCGCCCCCGCCCCGCCGGCCGCGCCCGCACGAGCGCGCTTCCAGCAGAGGAGCACCGGCACAAAGCGGCCGCACACAATGGCCTGGCTCTGCACGCGGCGCAATCTGCAGCGTGGCCCCCGCGCAGCCGCACTCACATCTGGGCAACGAGGGCCGGTGGTCGACGGGCACCCATATCTTCTGCACCCGGCTCTGTGTCAGCTCCAAGGGCATCTTCGCAGCTGCACTCGGCGGCCCGCCACCCCGGGAGGAGATTCCGACGTGGGGAGAAGAGCGGCCGCCGACCCCGGGAACAAAGGAAAGTAGGGGTGCGTGCGCCGGCGCGCGGTCGGGCGCTCGCTGTGCTGCTTTGGGAAACGTGCTTTGTGCTAAGTCCTGGACGCTAGCCTGTAGGGGGATCGGCGGGCTCTGCGAGGGGCGCAGAACTGTAGCTGCCAGCACGGCCGGCTTGTCTGCTCTGGAAAGCCCGGGGATGCTCGGGCGCAGTGACAGCCGCGATCCCGCCGCACAGCACGCCCGCTCGCCTGCTCTCCAGCTTTACCAGGATGCCACACGCAGCGCCCGGCCTTTTAAAGTATCCGGGCCGGCAGCACAGCTCACGTCAGCTCTGGGCGGGCCGCATTCTTTGCGTCCCAGCCCCCTTTCACGTGGGAAGAGGATAAGCGAGCCAGGAGGCGTCTTTCTGGCGCCCCCTGCGGGCGGGCATCAGTGCTATCTAGTCCCAGGTCCTACGACAACGAGGAGCCCTGGCTTGCTCTTTACCCTTGTTAGACCTTTCTCTGGTTACCCCTTAAGAAGACCTGAATAATTCTAAATAATTTCTGGTCCCTAACCTGAATTGTGCCGAGAGAAGCAACGTTTTGCGCTGTCTAGTGCGATGTCAACCCTGCAGCCCAGCCTCTGAGCTTTCTCCGTGTAGTAAATAAAATTGGACTCCATTCCCACCTGCAATCCATTACCAGATTATAAACTCCTGAATAACTATTAAGAGGTTACACCTTGGTAATGCAAACTCAAAGTTTATGTAGTTTTCCCTGCACACACTACAGCCTTCCCTCGCCACATTTTGATATGTTCGTGCCATGCTTTATTGGTTCTCACGGTTTGCATCGGCTCGTGATAAATGACAGCCGTGTAGTCAGATTTGAGGCTGTTCGGTGAAGGTCTAGGGAACTCTGGATGGGGACCACCGCCCTAGCAGGGGCACGACATGAATGACTTTAGCAAGCGAAGTGTCGGCATAGAAGCGTAGCCCTGCCTTGCGGACCGGTGCACACTTTGCGCAGAGGCTGGGCTGTGATTGGAGGAAAGGAGACGGCGCTCGCTGAAACCCACAGTGCAGTGGAAAAGTCTGCGCAGAGGCTGCCACACGTCGCTCACGTCCTGCATGCTCGTCTGGGAGGGCGCCTGCTCCCTGGCGGCGGGCACAGCTGCTCCCGCCCCACTCTCCAGCCCCGCCCGGGCCTCCGCCCTCTCCAGCATCCGGGTCCGCCCGGAGGGGCCCTGAGCGCCCAGTCACCTACCTGGCCCGTGTCCCCGGGGCCTCCGGGTTCCGACCCCGACTCCCTCACCCCATCCTGGCGCACCGCCCTCCCCCGAGCCCCAGCTCCCCACATAACTTTGCTGACTGTCTGATTTCCGCGCTCGGCAGCTGTTCAGAAACCCGATGCATTGCATTTGTACTTGTTTTTCTGCAGTGGGAGCAAATGCCAGAGGTGACACCCTAGAATTCCCAAGTGAGAAGAGATCCCCACTCCACTCCCAAAATAAAAGTGGGCTGACCCAAAGGGGAAAACAAGTCAGCGTGTGCCAGCGCCACAAGGAAGCATTCCAAGCATTAGGATCTGCAGGAGTCAGGGAGGGAGTCAGACTGCCCCAGGCAGCACCCTGCACCTGTTGGCCTGCTGCTTGCCCACTAAGATTTTGCACACCTATAGGCCAGGTAAGCAGACCAGGTGGCATTCTTTCCCCCTCCAAGATTTTGAACACAATATTGGTTTCAGCTCAGGGGAGTCAAGGGTGGGGATCTGTGCCAGAGGAGGTACATCTTTAATCTCTTGACCTAAATAACAGCATCTGACCAGGGTTGGCAATCGGGCAACTAGACAGTTGACATCCCCAGAGGTCCCAGTGCAGACAGGGCACTTTCCCTGCCTGTGTGTCAATAAAGCTGTGGACCTCCAGAACAAAGATTGGTTCTTGCCCAGTCACCACCTCCAGCACCAGATATGCAGCAAGCAAACAGAAGTCAATTTAATCCCCCTGCTGCTTAGGATAGGTAAATGCAATCTGAGAGTGCATGAGGGACAAGGACAAATTCACACTTGAGGGAGTTTTTAATGGCCAGCTTGAAATGCTCCTAGCCTTTACAGGCCTGAATAAATGACAGCCCTAGTGGGAGATAAAACTACTTCACTACAAAACTGCTTAGAAGTAGCCCAACTGTAACTATATTCCAAGTACTTGCTGTTCTGAGTTTGCTGTTGTAGAGAGGGTCCTAACTCTTTTACCTAGTTCTGCTAATGGCCCCCTATCTTCTCAAACATGACCCTTCAGAGCTCCACCAACTCCCAAGTCCACAAACTGGAAAGATACTATGAATGCAGCCTGTCAGAAAAGGGTGCCAAGATTGTAACCATTTCTCTAGTACATATTTTTACAGCCAGAACAACTCCAAGGGCTTGGGCAGACAGGATTTCTTTTTGATTCTGAGTCACAGCCCTCCACCTTATTTAAGCCATGAGGTCTTCAAGTCCACCTAGTCAAAGTCCCGTGCTTCATGTGAAGGAGTAAAAGGAGGTTTGGCGATTAGAGAGGTCAGGGAATCAGGTCAAATATTAAGGAAGAAAGCCAGTCAGGAACAGTGTTTGGGGAGTAGGTGTCTTCTACTTGACACAGACAACAGACAGGGAGACTCACTATAGATCCACCCTAACCCAGGTTGCTGAGAGGAATCCTAAAGCAGGGGAAGATCCGACAGTGATTTGACAGTGATTCGGATGATATCACCCAGAACAATTAAGCTGTTTGGAAGCAAAGAGCAGAGAAAGACCGTCATTGTGTAGACAAGACATTAGCAGGGCAATTACTTAAAACGCTACCAAGTGCTTGGTGGGGTGCTTGCAGAGCAGAATTCACTGAGCTAGGTCCTCTTAGAGAAAGGACATGGAAGTAGTTTCCCTCTGTGACCTTTACTCCTAGTTTGCTCTGCTGGCCAGTGTCATCTAACCCTTACCAGCACTCCCAGCCATGACTATCACGACAGCAGTAAGTGACATCATTTGCATGATCCTGCACCAACTAGTTAGATTTAAACATTTAAACCATGCCAGTGCCTACCTCCTCCCCAGGGAGAGAAAGAGAGAGGTAACAAGCTGTGGCAGGCTGTGAGCAATCAGAAGTTGCTAATTAGACACAAAGTGTCATTATTCTCTCCTCTAAAAAATCCTATGGAGGAGAGAGTAAATTTGAGACACCACATAAACAGCAAAACCAAACCCTTCTATCACCATCCATCCAAAGAGGGGGGAGGGGTTTTTTTTAAATAAAATATTTGAAATTCATATGAATGGGAATAGAGACTCGAGACCACCCATACAATGTCACACAGGCAATTCAAAAACCAATTCATGAGGGGCTGGAGATGTGGCTCAAGTGGTTGCACGCTCACCTAGCATGTGTAAGGCACTGGGTTCGATTCTCAGCACCACATAAAAACAAAATAAAGATATTGTGTCCACCTAAAACTAAAAAATAAATATTTAAAAAAAACAATTCATGAGCTCCTAGGAACTTTATTCATATTTGCCAAAACATGGAAGCAATCAAGATATCCCTTGTTAGATGAGTGAACAAACTGTGGTACATCCAAACAATGGAGTATGACTCAGTGCTAAGAAGAAATAAGTCATCAAGCCACTAAAAGACCTGAGGAAGCCTTAAATGCATATCACTAAACGAAAAAAAGCCAATCTGAAAAAGCTACTGAGTGTAAGATTCCAACTATAGTTGCTGGAGTGGAGAGGGGCAGAGATGGTTATTGATCTTGCAGCGAACCTAAAATGGCTCTAAAAGTCACAACTATTTTTAAAAGGAAAAGAATTCATTCTTTTTCTACACAAGTCATTACTTTTTTCTCCAATCGAGTAGACTTCACTATCTCATTATTGAGATGTAAAGAGGGTCCACTGTGGCCTTAGCCTTGCTCTGGATGAATCAACTCAAATTGTGTGAACCACATCCTACCAAACCCAAGTTTCCATTACCTTCTGCCTAGTGCATGTTACTCCACCTGGTATGGGATTTTCCTTTTTTTAAGGACACTCCTGAGCTTGGGATCATGCTCTTAAAGCTGCCTGTTAGTGTTTCATATCCAGCATCACCCTACCCTGCTGCTTCAAGAAGGTATTAGGGTCTGGACAAGGCTCCTTACCCAACATCAAGACATAAGAGTATTTTTGTTAAAAAGTATTATATTTTGAGTTCAAAATAGTCATGCTTTTTTAAAATCAGATGTCCTATGATCTAGTTAGCAGTGTAATACCAACATCACTTAACTGGTTTTCATATTTTACTATAGTTACATAATATGTCAACATTGGAGGAAGCTGGGTGAAAGGTTCATGGGACTCTGTAATTCTTTGCAACTTATTTTAAGTCTATATTGTTTTAAAACAAAAATGTAGCTTTTAAAAAAATATTTAAAGCAGTGATATCTCAGTTTGCTCAAATTCTGGGTGGGGGGGCGTCTAGATTGTGTAGATTTGGGCATTGAGGGGGAAAGACTTGGCAGAAAGATGGTCAAGAACTCCATGGTGATCTGCATGTGCTGACAACACCATTGTTTCTTGCAAATGACACATACATGTACACATGGAATTTGCATGAATCCTGCACCTGTGGAAAAAGAGAATAAAGCTTTGGCTATGTTTTAATGAGGGCGGATTCTATTTCTCAACTTTGCATAGATCTTTAGGAAAATATCAGTGGGTTTGTGTCCTGTCCCCAGTGGACAAGCTTAAGACAGAAAGAAATAGTCAAAGAATTCTGTAGAGGATTCTGAGAAGTTTATGCTAAGCCTCTTTCCCTGGGGTGAAAAGTGTCTCAAAAATGGTTAACTAATGCAGTAGCTAGCAGTTACTAGACACTCACAAGCTGTAGCTGTGTCTCAGAACCTGCAAGGAAGAAATGGCAGAAGGAATCTCAGTTATCACGTTGGTCCAGCCAAAAGAAAGTGATCAGAGAGACTTCATCCTGGTATTAAACCGAGCTTCACAGGGACTGTTACCAAGAAAGAGTTCCTATGCCCAAGAGCTCATAGCTGAAGAACAAAGGGAGAAAGGTCCATGGATCAGGCTGAGAACTCAGAGAGGGATAGGTAAGAATGCAGGTGAAAGGAAAGTCCATATAGGATGTTAAGTTCACTTAACTGGAGGCAGATCGCCTGGGAATTTTACATGCATCTCATTGTTCTTCAGTTTTTCCTCATTGAGTCTGAAGGCACCTGGAACCCAAAGTCAAGATCTCTCTTTTCTGCATGCAAAAAGTATTCATTCACTAAGCACCAGCTGGACCAGGGCGATCAAGTCAAGCAAGTTATGTGCCTTCTCTGAATTAAGAATTCACTTTTGAATGTCAGTGTCTCCTCAACACACACAGGCACACACACACATACCCACATGCCCCTACCTTTCCTCCTTGA